AGCCCTCAATTTCAACTTCAGCTTTGAAAGATCGGGAGGAGAAAAGTTAACGAAAAGCAATTTGGATGTGTTACGATAGCCACTTCCTTTAATGGGTTTGCTTACAAGTGGAGGAATGCAAGCAGGGTCTCCGATCCGAACACCGAGACCAACTCTGGTACCTCGGTGCTCCCCTGGGAGTCGCTGGGAGCTGCTACTGAGCAGTACCTTGATGTAGCCAGCCAGCCAAGTCAGCTCAGCAGTGTCTCTAAAGAAAATGCTGCTGTTACAACTGCTGTTGATTACGGAAGAAATGATGCACAGTCGAGGACTGTATTCTGGATGGCGTCTGGGTTGGATTTGTTTTGCATGGCTCCCATCAGCCCATGCAGCCTGGGAACAGTCATGTTTTACCCCAGCAATGCGTCTCTGGGTTTAGCTACAGCTCAGACACTTGCTGATCACTTGTCCTTGCCATGAAGTGGAGCTGTTGTCCTGCCTGAAGCCTTGAGAGCAGAGGCAGAATTCAGCATATATAAAGGTCTCATGCATTCGCAGTGTCGTGTACCTGTGTTGGCGTAATGTATCTGTATGTGGGACTGGCTGGGATACTGCCGTCTGAAGATCGCTTGCATTTTGACTGTTTTCAGACTTAATTGAAACCACTGGAGCATTCTCCCACGGCCTGCTCTGCAGACGTCATTAGAGGACGGCTCTTGATCTCCACGCAGCCCTGGCTGGGGCGACTGTGCTTGCCTCTTGGTGGCATTACTGGGGAACGTGCTAATTATTTTTATTCTTCGACTGTGCCTCCTCTGTGTTTCTCAATCACAGATTTCTTTCTGTTCTTGTGTCCCCGCTCTGGAGTTGCACAAACTGTTCCCCTCCAGAGACCCGGGTGAGACACTGATTGGTATGTTTGGTGTCAACCCCTCCCTTCTCCTCCCCCCCTCTGTTTTTAACATTGTTTGGGGCAGAAATGGGCTTATCTCTATTCTGCAGCTATAGAGAAATTCATTCCCTAGTGCGTATAGGGCTTCCTGTTGCAGGAATCGCTCCAACTTCTTAGCCTGATTAACTCTCTTTGCTGCCTGCGTCTGTGCTAGAGAGAGAGAGAGCGCGAGACCATCTCTAATTTAATTTAATAGGATCCTGAAGAGAACAAACTCCTTCAAGCTGCATCCGTAATGGCACTGCCATAGTTACCCATAATGTTGCTCATGCAGTGTCTGGAATCGTTTCATTCGGCTACGGGATTGACTTTTTTTTTCTTTTTTAAAGAATATATATAAAAGCAGCTGTGATATAAACAGTTTCCAAGGTAACAAGGCTGGGGGAGGGTTTTGTGTCCCGTCCCCCCTTTTCCACACGGATGGGAGAGGGAAGTGTGCTGCGGGGGATCTTGGGAGGTTTCATTCTTGACTCCCAATTCCTTTCTGCCACTGCTGCCAGATGTTGTAGTTTCTCGGGACTGCGCAGCTCCACTCGGTAACTTCCAAAGCCTTGCGACAAGGATCCGAGCGGACTGGACCGCTCCTGCTATGACCTGTGCTGGGACCTTTTGTGCAGGCTCTCTTCTCCTTAACAAAAGGCTGACGTTTGGCTTTGATGCCCAAGAGGAGCCGAATGGAAAGGCCTATGTGCGTGTTACTCCAGAGCTAAGTTAGATCATTCCCCCCTGCCACACACCTCCCCTTGCAGACAGACACGGCTGCCCTGGGACTCTTTGTCTGCGGTTTCCTACCCCGACCATGGGATGTGCGTACTCGGCGCCACAAGAAGAGGCGGCCGTGGCGAGGTGAGTTAATCCGCCTGAGTGGTGAACGGTGTCGCTCCGACTCGGAGGGTCGCTCCTGCTGCCCCGAACTCTGCGGAGCTGGGTATGTGTCTCCTGCGGGGCATGAGCAGAAGGAAGGGGGAGAGGCTTTGCTCAAGGCAGGCTGCTCCTAAAGAAATCCTGGTGTTGGTGCTCGGGCGAGAGCAGTTTTTGTGCAATGCCTAGACTGCATTCTCACTCTGGAGATACATGTGCTTTTTGGGAGGAAAGCCATAGGCTTGGGAGCGTTCTGAAGGTGCTCACTGAGCCGGAGACTTGGATATCCTCGCTTAGCTGTCAGTATTCCCCCCACGCCCCAGAATCAAAGTGAAAGAGAGCCATGGGAGTCCTTTGCGCTGTGGGCTCTCACCAAGGGTGGGCAGTCTGTGCAAGCTGAAGGCTAGGTTCAACAATGGTGTTAATCCCCTTTGCTCCCCCCGTTGCTTTCTCTAACTCTATTACAAACGTTACCCTAAGCTAAGCTGTGAGAGCAGTCCTTGTTGAAAGCACGCTTCCTGCTCCGAATTTCCCTGGTTGAGCAGTGAAAGCAAGTGTCATTCTTATCTTCAGCATCTGTAGGCTTACAGCTTAGACTTGTAAGAAGCCATTCTGATGAAGTAGTTTCAGGGAGTTGGGTAGCTTGCTTCCCCCCCCGCCCCTTTTCCAAAAGCCAAACTCATTACTTCTTCTGTGTGAGCCGTATGCTGTTCTTTGCCACCACATTTTAATGCTAGGTTGCTTCCTTTGGAAGTGTAGATTTAACTCCATGTGCATGATTTCCCTTTTAAAAGGAGCTTGTTGAAACGATCTAACAAACTGTTTCCCCCCTCCCAGCATTTAAATCTTTTTTTTTTTTTTTTCCAGGGATTGACCAAACAACTATTTTAATTAGATCTAATTTGTAGAGGGCAGTTGAACATGTTCTCCAGGGAGCCAAAAGCTAAGTGAGAGCTTGGTTTTGTGAGCTGGCTGTGGTGCACGGTGGGGGTCAGTGCTCCAGAGCCCATGTCCTGGTGGTTGTATGGGCAGGATAAGGGCTGCTTGTAATGTTCCTGGTATGGGGTAGATCACAACATGGGGGGGCTGTTAACTGCTCATGAGGGCAAAGGGGGGCATGAAGCAGCTCTCTCCTGAGAGCACAGCCTCCTTGGGTAGGTTTTAGGGGTAGCCTTTGCTCTGCTTTCATGTGCACTCAAAGGATCTAAATGTGTGCTCACAGCTGTCAGGCCTAGTTATGGAGCTCCTTGTTATGGCTGAGTAGAAGGGAGTGCTTGAAGGGATGTTTTATTGTATGCCTCCTGCTTTATGTTTGTGCGCTCTGCAAATGTCTCGGCACATCCTTAGAGATTCCTCCCTCTGGGCTGCAGAGTTTAGGAAATTGTTAGTGAGCTCTGCACATTCTCGCATGGGCCAGAGCCAAAACCATTTGTTTCTTGCCTGGAGCTTTCCCTCTTCCCACAGGAGACCTAGCTTTACATTCTTCCATTGTGAAAGAGAAATGGGAACGGGTCCCACGTTCCTCTCCTCTCTGCTGCTACTGAAGCTCCAGCAGGGAAGAGAGCAAGTGAGCTCCTGGCGCTTGTCCTGCCTTGAAAAGACCTCAGCGTCTAATCTGACTGTAGCTAGAGCCACCTCTGCCTGTGGGGCTCATGGAGGGTTTTGTGCCGTCCCTGATTGCTGCCAGGGCTGGGTTGCTTTCGCAGTGTGACACTAAAAACCCATGAGTGTAGTTGGGGTAATTAAGCTCTTAATTCTCTTGGCTTCCTACTTAATGGGGTAGGCATAACAGTGTGCCTAGAGGGTTTTGACACTGGTGTGGTTTATCCCTCTTTCAAGCTTGAGAAAGCTTCCTCAATACCATAATTCAAATGCAGTTTGTGCCAGAGAAGCACACTGGAACAGAAATCCCGGTGTGGGAACGAGGCCTGCAAGATCTCAGAGGGCAGCAGTCATCTTGCCAGAGACTCGGCGGCTCTGATCAACTGCAGAGTCTCTGTGTGTCTGTCTCCTCTGTGGCACGCTCCGGCTCTGGGACTCTTGTCTCGGGCAGTTGTTTTTGAGATCAGAGCAGCTGGTTGTCTGTGTGTGGTGTTTTTTTTTTTTAGCCCTGTCTGCCTTCAAGCTTGGAAGAGCAGCCCCAGGGAGGCATGGCTCATCCCAGGAGTTCAAGACCGAGGCCCTCTCTGTCTCCTTCAGCAGAGTTAAAGCTGTCCTGTGGAGGGGAGGCAGTTTCCTCTGTTCCCTTCTCTCACACTGTGGCTTGGCCACTGAGGTTTATCTGGAGACCGGGTCTCTCACTGTAGCTCTGAGAACCTCATCACTTGCCCAACTATGAAACCTTTGGAGCAGCTGATGTGTAGTGCTGAGTTTCAGGGCTTTGGCTGCAGGAAGGTTTACTGAAGAAGGTAAGCCTGGGAGTAGGCTTCTCCCTTCTGCTCCAAAAGACCCTGCTGCATGACTCAGTACACAGTTGTGTTCAGAAGAAGCCCTGCAGCTGAGTAATGGGGATCCCTGGGGCCTCCTGTGCTGCTGAGAAGCATGCTGTTGTGGCAACGTGCCTATCCTGGGGGCCTGGCTCCTCCCTGCAGCCCTCAGCAACCTGGATGCATCAGAATCACAGTGGGAAGGTGCACTGTGACCTCTCACTGTGAGGCTAGTGGTGGTGGGGTCTATTGGTACAGCTGTGTCTTCAAACTTTTCCTTGTCAAGAGCAGAGGTTTACTGCTGCGGGGAGGTTTTGTTTTTTAGGCCTCCGAGCCTCTTTTGGAAGAGGGTAAATAAGAGCATTTGGGGTTTCTCACCACTTTGGGTAGCCTTCCTGAGATCTGATATTTTGGGGGTCACTTTTTCCCCCCACGTGCTTATTCCTGACCTTTAAGAATGAACATATTCATCTGAATGGAAATTCCTCCTATCTTTCAGAACATCTCCGGTGAGAGAGAACAGCTTCATTGAGAAGATGAAGAAGACGGTAAGCTTCCTGTTTTGGATGTGTGGGGTGGATGGGAAGGTGATGGACCTCTTGTCCTTCCTGGTTTTGTGTGGTGACCATCTAGCTGTTAGCAGAAGGGAGCTGCTTGGACAAAGAGATGAGCCTGCTGTGAAGAGCATCTGGAGGAAGGCTGCATGGGGATATAGGGGTGGCACTTGGTAGTCTATGTCTGAAAGCTGATTTTGGGGAAAATGCAAGTGACAATTGAGGGAGGGGGATGTTTTTTTAAAAAAAAAAAAGTGTAATCTGAGCTCAAAGTCAGGATGGAAATGACAGAGACTTTAAAGACATCGGCTGGCAGCTCTTAAGTGTTTGATTCCCAAACACTTACTCTGGAATGGGAATTGTGTTGTACACAGAACTGGCAGCTTTTGAATCTATGCTGAACTGGATGCAAGATGAAGCAGAGGAAGAAGCAAGGGCTGGGTATATTTTCCATTTTGCTTTGAAATAGCTGGCTCTCTGCAGAGCGGAAGCTGCTGTGCTAGGCTCTTCCCAAAGCCTCGGCAAGTCTTAGTTCTCATCCAGGAAGTCCTCTATTTCCAGGAGTCACTCTGCAATGTGTTCTTGGTAACAGCTCAGCCTTGAGTTTTCTGCTGCAAACCCAGTGTGAAGTTCCATACAAATGTAGGCTCCTAGTTGCCTTTAAGCTGCAGTCCAGGCCTCCTGATCCCAGGTGTTGCCTTTATCTTTGACAAGATGTGCTTCTTCCAGGTATTCTACCAAATGAATAATCGCCATTTAACAGAGACTTCTTCTTTTCTCCAGGGGCGAAACATCATAGTTTTCTATGGTTCCCAGACGGGTACAGCGGAGGAGTTTGCTAATCGCCTCTCCAAAGATGCTCATCGCTATGGCCTCCGGGGCATGGCAGCTGATCCAGAGGAGTATGACTTGGTAAATTAGCTGAGAATGCATCCTTGGAATAGGTAATATCCTTTTAGTGTCCCCTAAAAAACAAAAGGAGCCTGGCCAAGGGACAGTTAGTTACCCTTCTGGTAGTGGCACTCTGGAGGAGAAGGAATTGGATCAGGTTGAGACCTGCAGAGATGAACTTGGTCCTTGCCAGGTTATGGATTTGGGGGTGAACCTTGCAACGCAACTAAAAGGAGGAGGAAGGTAGTCTCGAGTGTTTGGGAGTCACGTGTCGTTCATTGGCAGCATGCTGCTTGTTTCATATTCCTTCTAGTTAGCACTGGTCCCAGACTACTGCAGTCACCTTACAGAGAGGCACTGACAGTCTCTGTCATGTTATTTTCTGGAGTGAACGCTGACCCTAGTCCCTTAAAGCCTGTATGGAAAATCCCATTGCTTTTCTCATATGGTAGAAATACTGACTTGCAGTCTAGTGAGGGTGGTTAGCTTTGTTTCTCCTGCCGTTTCAGGTGGATTTGGCCTTTCCCACTGCCTTTTATAATCAACTATTTGATGTTATGTGGTGCTGTTCCACACACCAGCAGTAGCTGCGCTGTAGGATAGGCTTGCTCGATAACCATGTTTCGGGATGCCTGAGGGTTTATTCTTTTCTTTGATTCCAGTCTGACCTGAGTCGCCTATCTGAGATTGACAAATCCTTAGCAGTGTTCTGCATGGCCACTTACGGTGAGGGTGATCCTACGGACAACGCCCAAGACTTCTATGACTGGCTGCAGGAGACTGATGGTGACTTGTCAGGTCTCAGATTTGCAGTAAGTTACTCAATTTGGGTTTATGCTGCATTTGGACAGGAAAACCAAAGCTTTCCGCTGTGCTTGAATGTGACCTGGGTAAAGGCACAACATGGTGCGTCTGTCTTGTATGCCTGTGTTGAATAAAGTCCCTATTGTCTTCCTCTCCAAGCTGCATGGACGTTTGCAAACATATATCTGGGAGCTTTAAATACAGCTGTTGGAGTGTTCTCTCCACTCCCTAAATCAAAAGGGTATGCTGGTGAAGTCTTGCCACGGACAGCCGCAGGCATTGAATATGAGGTCTGTAAATGAGTTACAGGCTGCTGCTGCCGTTCACAAGCTAATCGAGCAGCCCTCGGACAGATCTTCTTCTGCAAATTAAATCACTTGGAGTGTGCGGTTCTTTTCCTATGCTGAGCTGAATAATTGGCTGAGATACAGCCATCTCACCTAAATCCCAGCCAAATTCCTTAGGCAGCATCACAATTGCAAATGAGAAAATCCACTGCTGGAGATGCTAAGCCGCTCTGTATAATGCGGTCAGCACTCAACGTTTGTTGAGTGGTTTGCGGGAGGGAAGGGACAGCAACTCATCTCCAGGCAGTCCAGGTGCTTACTGGTCTCTAGGAGAGACAGTGCAGGCAGCTCTTGTATGTGCATCCTGTTGATATGCCTGAGTCCTGCCTCATTGGAGGTAGAGGTGCCTACTGACGAGACGCTGTCTCGGGACTCCTGTGCAAAGTCAGTTGTAGGTTCTTGCCAAGAAGCTCCCCAAATCACTGATGGGGAACTGGGGAATTTTAATCAGTCTCTTGCATACTTGCTCTTCAGCATCCTTTGCTGGGTGCTGCTGGATAGGAGGTGCTGGCTGGGTGGGGTAAGTTCAGTCCCTGCTTCTCCACACTGATCAACGTTCTCTTCCAGGTCTTTGGGCTGGGGAACAAGACTTATGAACACTTCAATGCCATGGGGAAGTATGTGGACAAGAGACTGGAGGAGCTAGGAGCCCAGCGCATCTTTGAACTTGGACTGGGAGATGATGATGGCAAGTGAGTAGCTTCAAGGGGTGGTCTGAGCTGGCTGACGTGTTGTGGAAGGGCCCTTTGCAGGGAGTTGGCTCTGCTACTTGAAATAAGGCAGATGCAAACTCCCTAGGGTACCAACGTGTCTCTGAGCATGTGTCTGCTTGCTTTCTCCCACAGAGACAAATCAGATCCCTATGTATTTAGAGCATGATAGGAGATCCTGAATCTGATGAAATCCCAATTAGCTTTAAATGACTGTAGCTGTGTAGTAAGTGAGGCTTCACAGCCTGCTCTGCCTTTGCCCTGCTGCAGCTCCATTGCTAACCCATTCCACATGGGTGAGCTCATCTGTCCCTGTGGAGGAGACAGACTCCATCTCCTCATGAACTGTTTGTTCTGTGGCAGGATGCAGTTTTCCAGTTCTGAGACTGATTTTCTGGATATCTGTATGTTCCCCTTGAACATGCCATTGGCACCAGCTTAACCTCAGAAATTACATCAGCCTGTGGCTTTGCCTCTAAGGGCTGCAAGATCTGATTTAGAGGAGTATGGTTGTGTGGGAGGCTCCAAGCCCAGGAAAATAAGCTTTGCCAGGCTGAATCTGCCTTTTAGGGAGGTGGCAGCAGACAGAATGCCAGTGGTGGACAAGGGGGAGCTGAGTTGGGTGAAGACCAAGCCTTAATAACAAAGCCTTACTTGGCAGACCTGGTGGAGCGAGGGGTGGCTGCTGTAGCAGCCGTTCCTACCTGCCCACTTAGTGCTCTGAAGATGCTCTCCTGATGATCCATGGGCATATGGAGGTACCAAAACTACCTGGATCCAAGGGCGAATACCTTTTCCCACAGTAAAGGAGGAAGTCCCTAGGAATCTCAAACTGTTCCTCTGGGAATGCCCCTTTTCTCCTCCTTGGGCAAGGTTATTGAATCTCTCTTTTGCCCTGACTAGCTTGGAAGAAGACTTCATCACCTGGCGAGAGCAGTTCTGGCCAGCAGTGTGTGAGCACTTTGGGGTGGAGGCTACAGGAGAAGAGTCCAGGTGGGTATGAGAGCGGGTTCTCCCAGGGACCAGAGGTCAGCCGCCCTTGACTAGCAGCTGTCCATCAGCCCTGAACTGCTCTCCTCTTTCCTTTGTGCTGCTTCCCATTCCAGACTTGAGAGGGCACACATGAAGTAGGTCAGTGAGCAGGGCTGTTTGGGCTGAGCCTGTCCTGGTGCGAGTTTGAATCCAGCTCTGGATTCCTGTTCTGAATGGGCGATGCGTTGTGTTTGGTTCCTTTGTGGATAGCTCTGTTGGGTAACAGCGCTGCCAGCAAAGCTGGTGGTTCCTCGCGTGGTTTGGACTTTATTGGCTCTGCGCGCTCTAGTTTAACCTGTTCCCTAATACCTTGAGAGGGGTGAGGGGTGGTAGTGGCATTTGGTTGAACTGCAGCAAATCCAGCAGAGCACGTGATGATCCCTGTTGGGGATCCCTACTTGTGATTTCCAGTTTGACTTTTTCTCTCTCCTTTCCCTCTACCTCCTGCAGCATCCGCCAGTATGAGCTGGTGGTGCATACAGACGTGAACATGAACAAAGTCTACACTGGTGAGATGGGCCGTCTCAAGAGCTATGAGAACCAGAAGCCGTATGTACCAAACCACCCTGGGCAGGGTGTATGTGGGCCAGGCTTTGGGCGATGGAGTCCTTGATGCTTCTAACGACACTGTTGTGCAGCCAGTGTCGTTTCTGTAAAGCGGCCATCTGGCCGATGTCTGCCCAAGGGAAGGGGTTCACATCCTCTCAAGGCCTCTCAGGGGTTCCCTAGTTAATGAATCGTTAGTGTTGGGAAGACAGCTGTGTTCACATGTGCTGTTTTGCAGGGGTATGTTTAGCAGATTTATTTTAATCCCTTCACATCGTTACTGGTGGGAGGGGGAATGGTTGCCTCTCCCTTTCAGTGCCTCAGTGGCCTCATTCTATCTCCCTTTTTGACTGGTAAGTTTTTAGGTTACAAGGTCTGTGTCTTAAGGTCAGTCACAGCCTTTTCCCTCAGGGGTGGCTAATGTGATGACCGCTTGTGGTATGGCAGTGGGGATATTGATTATGTAAATAAATTCAGACCTGAAATACTGCTTTGAGATGTGATACTCCCTCTAATTTACTTCTTCTTAATGAGACAGAAGCTGTTGACTGGGCTGTGCTTAGAAGCAAAATGATCTGTTTTTCTGCTAGTGTGGGTAGCAGGAGGCTCAGGATTCAGATCCTGCTTTGGTGGACTTTGAAACATGAGCCTGAGGACATTGCCCGATTTGTGTGGGCCTGCTCTGGAGGAAGAGGGAATGTGCCTTTAAAAAAAGGGCAGTGCTCTATGAGCCTGCAGGAGAGTAACCCAGAGGGTCCTTGTCTTTCCCTCCAGCCCATTTGATGCCAAGAATCCTTTCCTTGCCCCAGTTATAACGAACCGCAAGCTGAACAAGGGTGGAGAGCGACACCTCATGCACCTGGAGCTGGATATCTCCAATTCCAAAATCAGGTAGTTTCCTACAGAAGACTGGCCTTTTTCTCCAGTAGGAGCAGGCTCTGTGCCAGAAACAAAGAGCAGGGATGTGGCACTGGCCTCATTGAGCCCTTCTGAAGGGGACCTAGTTCTCGTAGTTCCCTGACACTGCCGCTCTAGGCTCCAGTACTACATATCAGGGCTTTCTCCCAGCTCCTGGGCTGTGTGTGGCAATGTCACCCATCTGTTATACCTGAGTGGTCCCAGCAGCAGGAATTCTCCAGGAGCTCTCCAAAGAACAAGCAGGGTAGATGTGCTATGGGAGAGGGGTGAGTTGAGAATGACTCATGACTGGATTTGCTTGGCCTGGCTGTACAGGCACGGGGGAATAGAGTTGTGTTCTTAAAGCCTTTTGCTGGCGTAAATTCCATGTGATTGTGAGAAAGCCATAAGCCCAGGTGGGTTGATACAGGGAAATACTGCAGAGATTTTGGGCAGCTTTGCCCCTTGTTGGCTGGGAAGCTGGTCTATTCCTGTTAGATGTGTGGCCTCGCTGAAGTCCCTGGCAAAACTGACTTTACCTTAGAGCTCCCCTGTAAATGACCTGGCTCTTGAAACCATTATTCCATGGCAATCCTTTAGTGCTATGGCTGCCTGCTCTTTGGGGTTCCCGGTCCTGCAGGTGCTGTGTAGCAGCAGATCTCGGCTGTTGTCCTGCTGTCCATTGCACAGCCCGTTTGTCTTCTACCTGGACGACTTGGGCTTGATGAGAAGCGGTGCTGGTATTTTATTCCTCTCTTCTTGTTCTTGTGCCAGGTATGAGTCTGGGGACCATGTGGCTGTGTACCCAGCCAATGACTCCTCGCTGGTGAACCAGATTGGTGAGATCCTGCACACGGATCTGGATACAATCATGTCCCTAAATAATTTGGATGGTGAGTAGGATGGATCACCCGTGAGCATCCGCGGTTCTCCTTCAGCCATGGCCTCTGCCCTTCCCACCAGAGAAAGGGTCAGGTCACCTTCAGGTCCCACATAGGGCATCTCCAGGCAAACAGACTTCCCAGCACCACTCAGAATTTGGTGCCACTTTAGCAGCACTGGCACAGAGCCTGCTTGCTGAGAGCCAGCTGAAGTGGGTCAGTTGTGAAACTTAGTTGGTGTATGTAATCAACAGCAGATTATGTACTTATTAGCACTCCTAATTGCAGAGCACCAGCCCACCACCACTCCCCTCTGCCACAGCAATCTCAAGCTTAGTAGGGGCCTTCCTTTCATGGATGCTATTATTCAGTTCCTGGACCAGCCACTGGCTTGTTGTTGTTCAACCTGCTGCTGCGTTGAACTGTCAGGATAGAGAGCTTTTCAGTGCTGATACAAAGAGCCTTTCTTGGATGATATTCCCAGTGTAGCTGGCAGGAGGGATATGGCAGCTGCCACCCATCTTACCCCTACTCCTGTATGGGAACAGCAAAGCCCAATCTGAGACACCAGAGGGGTCAGCTTGGTACCTCAAAAGCTCCGTTCTGGTTTCTGGAGAGGAACTCCTTAGCTTTAATGCACTGTTGGAGCCTGCAGACTCCTGTGTGGTGTCCCGAGCTGTCTGGCTTTGCACAGTCATTCCTGTTCCTCATGATGCTAAACTGAATGGTTTGAGTTTTAATTGCTGGCACTTATCCTCCCCAAGGGGGCTGTGAGCACAAACGTCAATGGCTAAAGGAGGGAAAGGGCACTTGAGGCCAGATCTGAAGAAAGCATTCAGATTTGAAGAGGCCAAACCAGCCATCCAAAGCCATCTCCTTGCTTGGCCTGGGAGTTTGCTGGATGCCTCTGTGCCAAGAGTTCTCCCTGGAAGCTCGCTCCCTGCCTCTCCCTGAGCTCCAGGGTTCAAGCTATGCTATCTTCTAGGCTTCGGGGATACCCTGCCTTCTGGATCACCTTTCCAAAGTGTCTCTGTGCAGTGTGACTTTCCCTGGAAGCCAGGGAGGAAAAGATAGAGCATTGCAGTGCATGGAAGTGACAGCCTTGGAGCAAGACATGTCAGTGGGAAGAGTGTGATGTGCAGACCGTTCTGCTCTTAACGCCTGTGTTGTCAGATCAGCTGCAGCATCACTGCCCTGCTCTCAGTGACTGTTGCCACCCTTGTAAAATAGGGGATGATAAACAAGCCCTCACCCTCTGCAGCATGCATGCCTATCTCAAGGAGCATGGCATTTTTTTTTTTTTTTTTGCTGATAAGCTGTCAGGCGCATGCGTAAAACAGAAAGGAAATGGCTATTGGGACACACAGCTCCCTGGAGAGGGAGCTGCCCTGGTGCTGCTTCTGTATGGGATTGCTGAGTGGTCAGGGCTTTCGCCATTAGGCCAGTTCATCCCTAGGGCTACTCCTCTCCTCCCTGAAGCCAGTTCCCCTGCTCTGTCTATCACAGGCTCTCCTGCATGTAGCTGCTGGCATGAAATCTCTAACATAACAGCATGCAGTTGCTGACTTTCTCTCTTCTCTCCTCCAGAGGAATCCAATAAGAAACATCCCTTCCCCTGTCCCACATCCTACCGTACAGCCCTTACATACTACTTGGACATCACCAACCCGCCTCGCACCAATGTCTTGTACGAGCTGGCCCAGTATGCCACAGACACCACTGAGCAGGAGCACCTCCGCAAAATGGCATCGTCTGCTGCCGAGGGGAAGGTGGGAGCTGTGGCCTTCCTGGCAAAGTTGTTGGGTTAACTGGGTGATGGGTCCGGGTGCCACAGGATTCCCAAAGGGAATCCAGGGTTGTTGAGCTCCACACTCAGAGAGCTGAAGAGAATGTTTTCTAGCCATATTGGAAAGTCATGACGTGTGCCCTCCTTGCCTGCAGGCTCTCTACCTCAGCTGGGTGGTGGAGGCCCGGAGGAATATCCTGGCCATCCTGCAGGACATGCCCTCGCTGCGGCCCCCCATCGACCACTTGTGTGAACTCCTGCCCCGCCTGCAGGCTCGCTACTACTCCATCGCCTCCTCTTCCAAGGTCAGTGCGCTGCAGTCGAGCTCCAGTGGGGCATCAGGCCCATGGAAAGGCCCCACTTCCAGGGGGAGACCGGGGCTGATGAGAAACCGTTTCATCTTTAGCTCCACAGTGTCACAGGATCCCTTCTCAGCTGGGGACAGGACATGGGGAATTTCCCCTAGAAACCCTTTTCTGTGAGAGGGGCAGTTCTGCTTGCTCCTATGCATGAGAAGGAGGCTATCCCAACTTCTGTAGGGTCTGCAGAGGGGAACGGTGTGTCACACGTCACAACCGACTGTGCCCTGATATCACCCTTCCTGCAGCATGGCTCCTTTCTGCCATATGCCTTGTTTTCAGGACTTAGAAGCAAGGTGATGTTTTAGTGGCTGGTCAGGATTTGTCCTTTATGTTGTGGCCTGAAGCTCTGGCCATACTGAGGGAAGCTCAGTGGTGCTGTGGCAAGTCAGGGAGAAGACAGGAGCCCTGTGTTGGGCACACTTGGAGGTTTGATCTGCAAGGGGATGAATAGCTATCCCAGCATTAATGTTAGGTTAAATTTCTCCCCATCGCTGAACACAAGGGACTGAGCTGTGGGGGGTGCCAGGTACCTCAGCTGGGGTTCGCTCTCTGCCCTGCGCTAACATCACTTCCTGGTAGGTTCACCCCAATGCCATCCACATCTGTGCCGTGACAGTGGAGTATGAAACCAAGACAGGACGCTTGAACAAAGGGGTAGCTACCAACTGGCTCAAGAACAAGGTGCCTGATGAGAACAGGAGTAAGTCCCTGGTGCCCATGTATGTAAGGAAGTCGCAGTTTCGCCTGCCCTTCAAACCCAGCACGCCTGTCATCATGATTGGGCCAGGGACTGGCATAGCCCCCTTCATTGGCTTCATACAGGAGCGAGTCTGGCTGAAGCAGCAAGGTAAGTGCACAGAAACTACCCTGGGGACCAGAGCTGCTGCAGGACAGATGTTCTGGAGTGCTATTTGGTGCCTCTGTTCATGGGCAGGTGCAGTTGGTGCTGGTCACACCACTAATGGGTTAAGGGAAATGCGTCTAGTGAGGCAGACGCCATGGAGCTGGGTGAGCAGCAGCTGAATGCCTCTGCCCAGTGAGGGGATGCTTTGCCTTCCTCCGCTGGCTGCGGTGGATATCTGGGGGAGCGGATAGGCCTGAGCCAGTTCTGACCTCTGTCATTACCTCTCCAAACTTCCCTTGGTAAACACAAGCAGAGGCCCAGCTCTGCCTCTTTGGAGTGAGCAGGAAAGGGGGAGGTGGAGAGGGCAGGGCAGGAGTTGTGGGGTCTAGCTAATGGGTGCTGTGTGACTCTGCAGGCAAAGAAGTGGGTGAGACAGTGCTTTACTATGGCTGTCGCCATGAGAATGAGGACTACCTGTACCGCGAGGAGCTTGCTCGCTTCCATCAAGAGGGAGTCCTCACCCAGCTCAATGTTGCCTTCTCCAGGGACCAGGCTGAGAAGGTACCACTCAAGTCCCCCATTCTGTTGTTTATGCTGCCAAGCAGCACTCCCAGTCGTGGCACGGGGGGGGGGAATAAAAGGCCTGGAGAGCTGGAGACTCCCAGCCTGGGGCCTCACTGTTTGGGAAAGCCCACACAGTCCTGGGAGAGCCCAGCTCATCCGCTGCCTTGTGGAGCTGTGGGGGGAGGGCGAGCTGTGAGTGTGGCTTTGGCTTCCTCTCCCTTGCCTCAGTTTATGATGTACTTGGTGGTGCTGCTCCTCTCACCTCACCCACCTTATTTTCTGCCAGGTTTATGTTCAACACTTACTGAGGAAGAACAAGGAAAACGTCTGGAAGCTGGTTAATGAGGGAAATGCTCATATCTATGTCTGTGGGTAAGTCCGGCAACAGGGAAGGGACTTGAAAACCACTTCTCTTCTCTAAGGAAAATGAGTGTGACTCAGTTAACCCACTTGTTTTCGCATTGTATGTTACTAGCCCAGGGAGGGTTATGCTGTCTGCGGGCCAGGGAGTGGAGAGCAGCCAGGCAGATGGGGCTGGGCAGAATGAACCATCCATGTGTGGATGTTCAGAGACGACCAGAGCTTTGTCACTCTGTGGTGCCACAGCTCAGCTGCTCTGTGGTAACTACTCCCAGGCATGTCTCCACCCTCTCTGCTGAGTGAGGGGAAGCAGCCCCATGCTCATCTCTGCCTCTGGGGGTATGCTGGTTGTCTTAAGGCAGGGGCTGTCCTTGAACAGGCCCTGGCACCCGACATCACCTCTGTGCCTTGGCAGAGGCAAACCCAGCCTGGCCTGGCTGTGCTAGGGTGGAATGACAGCAGTGGGAGGGCAGAGGCTCCAATATAAAGTGGCACTTCTGAGTAATTTGGGCTGACTGAGAAACACTCAGGAGGGTGGGAGCCACCTAGGAGGAGGTGGCTGCTGAAAGAGAGTGCCTGAGGCATCCTGAGCTGCTTTCCCTGCAGCAGGGCCTGGAGAGGCATGGGCCGGCTGGGCGTGTAGGCCTGGATGCCCAGACCTCTGTGGCTTCTCCAGTGCTATCAGCCCCAGCTGTCACACCCAGCTTGGTTCCTGTGAAGACAGATCCTTTGGCTTTGAGGTCTGCTTGTGCTGCCCTGTGGGGTCTGAGCTCTGTGGCTCCCTCCCTGCTGGATGAGGAGCAGGCTCACTTTCTCTGGGGCCCACCTGCAGCTCCAGGGGAGAGATGGCAGCTCTGTCTGGCAGCAGCCCCAGGGCAGTGATCTGGGCTGCTGCCAGGGGTTAGGACTTTGCCAGGTCAGGGGCAAGAGGCTGGGTACTGCTCTGTCCTCACTCACAGTTCTCTCTGTTTCTAGTGATGCTCGCAACATGGCCCGGGATGTGCAGAACACCTTCTATGAGATTGTGGCAGAGTTTGGGAGCCTTAGTCAGCCCCAGGCCGTGGACTATGTAAAGAAACTGATGACCAAGGGCCGGTACTCTTTGGATGTCTGGAGCTAAGAGCAGGGCTGGCAGGGCCAGGGAGAGAACAGATCCTTGGGTGCAGGCCCATGGGAGGTGAAAGGTGCCTGCCTCCCCACCCCACCTGTGGGTGACCACATCATCCCCAACCCACAGTTACCCCAGTGTCACCCTCAACCCCTCTGCTCTGGGCTCAACAGCTACAGCAGCCCCCCGGGGCAGGCTGGGGATGGACCAGCTGGCATCTGTCCCCTGTGTGCATATCCCTGGGAGGCAGAAGGGGTTGAGAGGGGCACAAGGTGGCTAAGGCTACTGTCTGGGAGCTGTGGTAGCCCTTGGCACCCAAGAGAACACCTCATGGCCCCAGCCTTTTCTTTGAGGTCAGTGACGCAGCTGATGTTGGGCAGGGAAGGGGGCAGGAGGAACAAACAGCACTGGAGGAGCCCTGGCCTCCTTTTGTGAACATGGGGGGTTGCTTCATCAGGGAGGGGACAGGAGATGCTGGTTTTGGGGCCAGAGGCAAGCCGGGCCTCCCTGTGCAGCGCAGGCTGGGAGTGGCAGAGGGGTTGTAGGAGCCAGGCAGCCCTGTGCACACTGGCTTAGCGTAAGGGCTTGGTGCAGGGCAGCGAGCTGTGCTCACCTCCTTCAGTCTGAGCGTTCGGCAGTCTCTGAGGCAAGGGATGTGGGGCTGCCAGCTAGCTCCCTCCAGCACTGCAGCCCCTGAGCTCTCTGCTCCTGGAGGGCAAATGGCTCTCCCTGCTTGGAAGGAGCTGTGTCCCCCACTCTGGTCCTGCTGGAGGAGAGTCCTGATCCAGCTGTGCTGGGGGCATCTGTTAAACGTGCACAGAGTTGTCCCACACAATACCTAAATATCTGCGTTCCCAGCAATCACTGCTCCAAGGAAAAGGCAGAGCTAGTTCCCAGTCTGGCCTTGAGCCAGGGTCAGCCAGGACCCTTCAGGCACCCCTCCTCCTTTCCCCTTGCTGCCTTCCACATCTCTAGCATGCAGGGGGGAGATGGCTCCTGTCCCCTCCAGAAGAGATCTGGTCTAGGGGCTCACAGCCTGCAGGGGCCCTGCTTACTCCCCACAGGTCCTGCAGCTGGCAGCTCCCCTGTGCCCAGCCCCTCCATCATGGTGCATATGGTCATTTTTTAAATACTGTTTTTATTTTAACATCTTTGTGATTTATCATGGAAAAACTTTCAGGCTATCCAATGACTGTAAATTATTTAAATATACTTTGCCCTTGGAATAAAAACACTGTTTCTGTAGTTTGCTTCCTGCCCTCCTGTCCTTCCACTGCTTGGCTGGAGGGGAGAGGGCAGCAGGGGAAGCAACTGCTGCCACCCAGCAGCCCTCCTCACACAGGGAAAACCTCCACGACCTGCCCTAACCTGGGGGAAGGAACCAGGCTGCAAGTGTGGGTTTAGCCTGACCTGGAGCTGTCTGCTGGGGACAGCTGCTACCCTGAGGTGCTGAGCCCTGCCAGGGAGGTGAAGATGGCAGCAGTGTACTAGGTGGGCAGGTCTAGCAGTGTAGGCACAAACTTGTGGCAGGTCAGACAGCTCTGGATTGAAATGTTATTTTGTTCCCAACTTTTCAGGAGTTTCCCTGAAGTCTAGGGCTTCTCTTCCCTCTAGTTTCTAGAGGGACTGAAGTCCTGCTCTACCCCTGAACAGCTTTCTTCTGCATGCAAAGCTGGGGCCACAGCCAGTGCCACTGGGCTGTGCAGGCTGGGGGCTGGAGCACGGGAGGGAGCCTGGCAGCTCATGGTATGGCTTCATTCAACCCTTGTCCCATTGCACCCTGCTGAGGAGCACTCCATCCCTGGGGCTGCTGTGGGGGCACTTGGAGCTGGTTGTCTCTCTCCACTCAGCATTTTGGATTCAGAGGCCTGGGTGTGCTGCCAGATAGGCCATAACCGCAGAGCAGGGTTGTGCAACTTGTTCTGAGACTCCAGCAAACCAAGGAAGCACCTTCCCTTTATTTTTGCATGTGCATCCTCCAGAGATGCAAGACGAGGGTGCTGTTTGCACAGCTCCAGAGTGAAGCCTGGTTTGGACTCGTGCTGCTCCCACCCACCCCTCGTGCTGCAGATGGAGCAGCACAGCTCTGAGGAGCGCCACACGGCTGATGAGCAGCCAGGACCCAACCCAGCACCCTGAAAACCAAGCGCTTGCCAAGAACAGCTCCTCCACCTCGGCCCCCTCTCTCCTGTCTCTTGAAGGGAGGGGAGGAACTGTGGTACAATGCTCCCACTTTCATCCTGGAAGCCAGCACACGCGTGGCCTCCAGCTGCCCCAGAAAGCAAAGGAGGCTGCTAGGACAGCCAGGGAAGCAGTTGCTCACAACTGATGAGACAAGGAGAGGCCTTGTCTACCTCTGTTATCACCCAGGGGGGCTGCCCTGGCTGCAGGTCTGGGGAAAGAAGAGGAAGAGCATCTACCCTGGGAGGTGATGAGTGAAGGAGGCGACCAGCAGCCCTGGACGGGGCCTTGCACCACAGGTATTAGTGCAAGCCAGGCACCTTGGACTGCTTTCCTGCCTGCAGCAGAGTGCTGGCAGAGCTGGGCTTGACCCCAGGGAACCATCCCAAAAATGCCTTCAGGGCAAAGAGAAGGGAAGCAGCTGTCCCAGACACCCTGCTCCTCCTGGAGGAGGAAGGCAGACAGGACAGGAGCTGCCCAGTGTTTCTGCCTCCAGGTTAGTGGCTTGGGCACGCAGCTCCAGCACTACGGTGAACACAGTCTGTTTGGTAGCAGGCCCTGAGCTCTGTCCCGTGTCTGGGCAGGCCTGCTTCAAAGGAATGGGGCAAGACACATCAGTCTGGACGGCATCGAGGCAAGAAGAGGAGTTGGGAGATGGAGACAGCGGAGAGAAACCATCTTGGCCTCCATGCTGGCCCCCCCTCCTTCACTTTTGCTTTGTGTCTTTGTTCTGATTCTGAAACTTCTGGTGGACGACACGGAGGGTGGTGTAGAAGTTCCCCAGAAAGAGGATGAAGAACGGGAGGCCACACATGAGGACCTGCAGGAGCCACAGAGTTGCAAGTAAGCAGGAGGGACCTTCAGACCTTCCCTTCCCCAGGAGCCCCAGGCTGGCAAAGTGGGGCAGCTGCATTTGAGCCTCCCCCTTACCTGCCACTCCTTGCAGTCTGGGTGCTGCATCAGACGGAAGAGGGTGATGGCATTGTAGAGCTGCCAAAACTGCAGGAGACAGGAGAGTTTCTGTCTTCAAAGGCTCAAAGCTGCTAGGCCTCAGCTAACCCAATGCTGATGCTCAGCTAGCTGCTTTCTCCAGGCACAAACCCCATACAGCTCTCCCATGAGGCCAACTTGCTCCTGCATGCAGTGAAACCCCATCCAGGGGTCAGAAGATCCTGGCAGAGACATGTCCCCATTTCTTGCTACCTTCTGTAGCCCAACAGCCTGGAGAAAGCCTCAGACCAACCTACTGCTTTTGGCCATTAGCCTAAATGATCTGACTAGGGAGGAGTTGAACTTTTAGCAGTAGCTTAAGAGCCCAAGTTCAGAGGGGTTTGGGATATGATCTTGCAGTCAGTCCTTTTGCTGTGTTTCACACATCACTTTAGCTAACAGCAACAGCAGAACTATCCTACCAGGGCACCCAGGTCCTCCCCCATCTTACTAGGCAAGTTTTGTGGAGGTGGGCGCTCTAGAAGAAGAGGCACATGTGAAGATTACCCTTTTCAAAGCATTTCCCCTGCCTCTGGGGCATCTGTATCACAAGCCTGTGGCAGCAACCTACAGAGACCCGTTTGATGTCCAGGCAGCAGGGAACACGGCACAGCTCAGTCCCCGCCCAAGGCTCTGGTCTTCCTAGCAGGGACATGCAAGGATCGGTACACACTTACCTGTCCAAAGAAGAGGAAGGGAAGCAGGAACGTGAGGCCTCTCCACATCCAGGACTGGAAGCCCTCTGCAAAGGAGAGGTTTGAATGGGGACCTGAAACCAGGCTAGCCTGAGGACCAGCCAGAGCCAAGCTCTTAAGGTAACAGGCAGGGAGGTTTAGTGGCCAGCCTGCACCTGGCTGAGAAGGTACCACAAGGCTACTGCAGCTGCTCCATGGACATTTGTGCTTGTAGAGAACGTGGGAAGGACTCTGGCTGGCATTCCTAGCTCTGTGGTCTGGCATGGGCCCCTCCAGAGGAAGCTGCTCTAGTAAAGCTGTTCTCAGCCAGAGCTAGACTCCCT